TCTCTGTTACCACACTTGCTCTTTATGCCTGCTGTTAACTCAATTTTGTCAGGCGACTTACTTGACTTTTGTCTCAAAGCTCCACCAAATTTTCATTTTCCACTAAGAAAAGAATCAAATGAATTGAAGATCATAGGAAAACATTGCAAAGCACCTTAAACAAGATAAAAATCATCTATACAGTTACACTGTATAGAAAATGTGTGTCTCAGCTGTGTATGACAATAAAGACCTTTAATGCAAAGGATCCAGGACCAGGAAGATTGTCACAAGTTCAAGGCCAGACTGAGGCTACTTAGTGACTTCCAGGTCAGCCTCAGAAACATAGAGACTCAGCCTCAAACACAAATGAGAATAGAAACTATGAGTGAACGTATACAAAAATCAGGCCAACCTTATTGCTACAATTTTTGATGATTACATTTATAGTAATTTATACTTATTTCTTATTTCAATGTTGCACAGGCTAGCTTTGAACCCCTGGCTTACAGGATCTTCCTCAACCCTGAGTATCTGGGAAGAGACTCAAGTCATCATACCTGGCTCTTTGCTAACTTCTAAAACTACCATCATTGTACATAGACCCTGCCTTTGACAAGAATATGTGTGTTTCTCTTAGAAGTCTCACAAAGCTCATTCTATAAACCAGTTCCTGTTGATACTGAAGATTTCTTCCTGTGGAAAAATAAAAGAATATCAGCACTGCAGTTTCTATTTAGGACTTACTCTTAGCTGATCTTCAAAAGAGAAAATGAATAGCATGTTTCCTCACATTTTTATTTTATTATATCTATTTTGGGCAAGTACTGCATTCACACAATTCAGAAAATATAAACATGTACACAGCAAAAATTTTCATCCATTACCTTTCACACCAGATACTGTTACTAGACTTCCTGTATCTTTCTTAAAATAAAGTGTGCAAATGATACAAAACTAAGCTCCCAGGCATATATTGTTTTTTGTTTTGTTCCTTTTGGGTTTGGGTTTGCTATTCAAAAAGTTGTAACTATATCTCTCCTAGTTAGCTTCAGCTGTCAAGTGGACCCAGAGTTATCTCAGGAAATATCATTCAGGGATTTCCTCCATCAGATTGGTCTTGGGTGTCTGTTGTTCTGTGTTGCTTGAGTTGCTCAAAGAAAGAGGTTACTCCAAGATGAATTTTTTTATGTCTGTGTGGCAGCAGGAAGGTCCCACCTCTGGCGAACTAAATCTCCGAAAGCCATTCAAAGGCATATTTATTAACTTGGAGCAAACAAGTTCTTCAAATCAAAGTCCTTGATCTAATCTAAATTTTTTTTTCTGAAGAAAAACATCACATACACACATCCCTACTTTGGTCTTTATTGTGTACCATTTGCAGTGCCCAATTATCCAAGAGCTTCAGGTGTGCCAGGAATGTCTTGTAGCCAGTCATATGCAAAGGCTGTAAAGCCCCCTCTGAAAAACAATTCTATAAATCACAGAAAACAATCACTGTTTTCCACAATGAAAGTATAAGCCAAATAAGCCGTTTCCACGTCATGATGTTTATCACAGCAACAGAGATCAAGCTAGAACAATGTCTATATATAATTTTGGATATACCATGCTGTGTGTATACAATGTCTAGAAGGGTATTACTGCATCTTCTATTTATTTATAAGATGTCAGATTTTCTCCCTGGGAGTTTTGTAGGCTTAAACTCTCAATCAACAAAGCAGAAAGGAGATCAGACAATGCTTGATTATGAAGCCTTTATAGGGGGAATCTGTGTCTAACGTTGCTACAGATCATCTAAGTAGAAACAGAACAACCATCACAAGGGGAGTGATGAAGGATTCTGAGTTCTTATTAAAACAGTAGCTGAGTTATATATATAGACATACTGGATAATCACAATCTCTGTATAAACTGACCAGGTTAAATAGTCAAGATTTAATGGTGAGTGTTCTAGTTTGCTTTAGTTGCTGGGATGAAACACCAAAACCAAAAGTAACTTGGGGAAGAAAGGAATTATTTAATCTTGTACTGTAATTCATCATCTAGGAAAGCCCTGGCAGGAAAAGAAGGCAGGAACTGATGCAGAAGCCATGGAGGAGTATAGTGGGAAATTACCAATACGGAGTCAGGTAGAAATATAAGGGTATTTAATAGGGAAAAGCCTTACTTACAAAACGCAGTCACACTACGTCACTCTGACCACGCCCTCACAAGCGTGGGCAGACACACCTGTAGCCAGCCCCTAAGAAGGCATGGCTACAGCTTCCCCTACAGAGGAGAGCTCCTTATTGGCTTGATTCTTATGGCTTGCTCAGCCGCTTTCTTACACAACCCAGGCCAACATGCTGAGCGTGCTACCACCAACAATGAGCTGGGCCCCATCAACCATTCATTAATCAAGAAAATGCCCTGCAGAATTGCCTATAACAACCTGGTAGAAGCAGTTCCTCTATTGAGGTTCCCTCTTCCCAGATGACTGTAGTTTCTGTCAAGTTGACAAAAGCTAACCGGCACAGTGAGGTTGACTATTCTGTTGTTAAAGGGGACTCTTTTGATTGTCTTATGTGAGGGAAAATAAAAATGTCTAAATCAGAGCCCGTCTCAATGCTCATTCTAATAATCCCTCACTTGGTAGGTCAGGATAGGAGATTTTGCTTGAATTTGAGCCAGGCTGGACTAAACCATGCAATGAGGCCTATAATGAACTACATAATTTCAAATAAACAAACGAAGTCAAGCAAGTTCAGAATCAAGCAAACTCGAATGCTGAGAATAAGAGGACTGGTTGAAAACATTTATTCTGTTCAGTGGTTCTTAAAATCCTGTCTCCGACACTCCATCCTCTACTGTAGATGTCAGCAATAGGAATTCTAGGATGGCATTTAGCTTCAACAGACTCTGGGATCCTGACCTTTGCTGAGGTTTGAGGCCATTGCTTGAGTTTTGTTTTCATTTCCTCACCTTTGATTCACCATCAACACTGGACTCCTCTTGAATACCCTGCTGTTGCTCTGAGGCATGGAGATCCTACAGCTATGTTTCCTCAGGACCAGTCCCTTCACACCCTCTGGCAGGCCTCGGTGATAGCTGATTTGGTCAGTCTGGGCTGCTGGAACCACCCACTTCAGGCAAGGGGTAGAGCCAGCCCTCCCATACAAGCCAGAGGCCTTCAACCAGACCAACAACTCTTTGCAATGAACATTTGCAAGTAAAGCTGAGTGGACAAAAGGGCATACTGTCGTCTGGAGAGCTGGCTCAGAGGTTAAGAGCACTGACTGCTCTTCCAGAGGTCCTGCATTCAAGTCCCAGAAACCACAAAGTGACTCACAGCCATCTATAATGAGAGCTGGTGCCTTTTTCTGGTGTGAGGCATATATAGATGCAGAATTCTATACACATAATTAATAATTAATAAATAATAATACTGTGTGCAGACAGTATGTAAAGCTAACTGAAAAAAAAACTTTCGTCAGATGAATCTGTCAAACCTACTTTTGACTATCATGAGGAAAAACAAAGATGGATTAAAGGAGAAAAATATATAGCTAAATTTCTTAGTAGTTAAAGTCCTCATTATTGATCTCTAAGAAGACGACAGCACCGACTGAATTGCATGAAGAGCAACACCATCCCAAAGCTATAAGAAACCTATAAATGCAATCTATAAATCACAAACCTATAAATCACAATTAACAAACATACTTCTAGTAGAGGTTTTAGATAACAAAGTGTTTAATCTCCATTTCTCTACAAATATGCTTTCTCAGAGTGTTCACATAACACCTCTTGCTTATATAAGCATATACTCACAACCTTAAGAGGTTAAGTTAGAACTCCTATTTCTTTTTTCTATTAAGGGACGAGGCAGAGAAAATCTCTTACAGGAATACACATTCTTTACTAAGATAAAGAAGAAATCTAGCTGGATCTGGTGATATCAATCCACAATTCCAGCTACATAGGAGGCTGAGGAAGGTGGATTAATAGTCAAGGCCAACCTGAGATACAAAGTGAATTCAAAGCTAACATGGGCTACAGAGTAAATTCAAGACCTGCCTAGGAAACTTAGTAAGAAGTGAGACCCTGTCTCAAAATAAAAATTAAAGAGAGGTATGAGGAGAGCTTGGTAGTAGAAGACTTCAGATACTCAAGGTCCTGGGTTAATTCCCAGCACCAGAAAAAAAAATTAAAAATGAGATAAAGAAGAAATTTAGATGGGTCATTCACTGAAAGATCTTACCATTCTACCTGAGTAGGGAAAAGGTACCACAACCAATTTCAAATAGATGACAGGGAATGGCTAAGTTAGTTCATGTTATGGGATAATCTTTTTGCCCACTGTAAAGACATGTCTTTGCCAAGGTGCCTTCTGGTTGGTTTAATAAAGACCTGAGTGGTCAATAGCTAGGCAGGAGAGGGTAGGCAGGATTTCCTGGAAGAGAAAAGAAGCAGAGGAAGAATCTAGGAATGTGGATTTCACCAGAAGACTTGAAGCAAGTCCAACATCACATACTGAGGAGAAGTAACCAAGCCACATGACAGAACACAGAAAAAATATGGGCTAATTAAATATAAGAGCTAATTAGAAACAAGTCTAAGCTAACAGCCAAGCTTTCTTAATTAATAATAAGTCTGTGTATCGTTATTTGGGGGCTGATGATCCAAAGATAGTTGGGCAAGAAAACTTGCTATAAATTCATGCATTGTGGTACACGCCTTTAACCCAAGTACATATGTAAGTTCAATGCCAGTCTTGTCTACATAGTGAATCCCAGGCTAGCCCAGGCCACATGAAAGGCCTTGAGTCATAAATAAATAAATAAATAAATAAATAAATAAATAACAAATAAACCAATAAACAAATAAATGAATAAAAAAGAAAGAAAGGAATGGAAGAAAATGGAGAGGTTGTCTCACATCAGTCGAAAAAAATGAAACAGAATAGTCAACCAGTGAACACAAAATTCCTAAAAATTGTTTAGTAAAACATGCAAAGTAGCATTTTTTTGTTTTATAAGTCCATGCCAGTATTTAGAATATCAGTCTCTAAAAACACTGTCTGTATTTCCCTCCTCTGCAGGGAAGCTTTAGGCTTAAAAGCTTAAAGGAGGCACAGGGCTTCTTTGTTAAGAAGTCACACTAGCACCAAGTTTTCTGATTTGTAAAAGCCCTTCACAAGCATTCATGCAATTGTCAAGCAAGTTAAAGACCAAAGAAAAATAAGCCAAGTAGTCCATAGAGAATTTGAGTGTTGAAGTTTTAGGGCTATAAGCAAATATTTTTTAAATATTTTATTGTTACATAACTTATTTTAAATCTGCTTGACCTTTATATCATGACTCAACCTGGCTTTAAAGGGGTGAACCTAGAAAAATATTAAAGGAGAAGAGTAATTACCTAGTAGCGTCATAAAGACAGCATAAGTAAGAAAAAATTAAATGCTAGAAGATTCCATGGATAAGTCTAAAGAATTTTGGAAGACTAAGTTAGTCTTAAGGCAGAAATGAAGGGATAATGAAGGCAACAAAAGGGGAGAGACCTTAAGTTTTGGAAGCTAGAAGTCAGCCCATGAGCCTTCAAAGTAAGAATTCAAAAACAGGTGCTGTTTTTGAGCAGACCAGAACAACATGCTCGTGATTTATTAAAGCATGGTGTCATTTCACAAAAAGGACCTCAGAAGAACATGTCAGTCTTCAAAACAAGAAATGATTTGGCTGGACTTTGTTAGCTATCATAAAAACCTTACTTCTTATGATTAACTCACAGCACAGAGCCTTGACTGCCCAGGTTCACCCTATGGAGCACTATCCATCCAAATTTCTCAACCTGCTTCCCAACAGACATGATTTCTCCTACAGTCTCCACTGGGGTCAGTAACCTCACCTATTACTTACTGTTCTTGCACTTTCAACCCACAGGACAGCTTTGAAGGCATAAGTAATAATGATGAATATTTGGTGTGAATCTTCTGACCTGAACAAAGTGTCAACTTAGCTGGCAGAAGCCTTGATTCAGTTTAATATAAAGAGGAGAGGGATACAAAATATGTCCTAAAATTTGGCTAGGCCCAACATATGGGAAAACTGAGAAACAAGATGTTGAGTGTGACTATCTATCTTCATTGTTAACTTAACTGAATTTTAAACCACTTGGATACACAGTTCAGGCATATCCGCGAGGGTGAGTCCAGAGAGCTTTAATCCAGGAGAGAAGACTCAGCCTGAATGTGGGCAGCACCATCCCGAGGCCTGAAGTCCAGAAATGAATTACAAGGAAAAAAAGTGAAAGCCAGCAGAACATCAGCATTGATCTCTGCTTCCTGTTTTCAGACATAGCGTGACCAGCTGCCTCACATTTCTGCCATCACGCCTTCCCTACCATAATGTATCAGCTCAAACCATGAACCTAAATAACCCATTCCTTCCTTAAGTTGCTTTCTTAGGTTTTTGGTCACAGCCCTGAGAAAGGTAACAGATACACTGAGCAGTATAGAATTGACATCAATTGTATCATCATTTGTTGTGCTAGTTTTATGTCAGTGCAACACCAAATAGTCATTTGGAAAAAGGCAACCTCAACTTATAAAGTGCTGCCACCAGATTGACCTATAGGGCAAGCCTATGGGGTATTTTCTTGATTGATGATTGTTGTCAAAAGCCCAGCTAGCTGTGGGCGATGCCACCACAGGGCTGGCAGTCCTGGATGCTAAAATAAAGCATGCTGAGCAAGTCATTAGGAGCAAGCTGGTAAGCAGCATTCCTCCGTGGCTTTTGCTTCAGTTTTTGCTTCCAGGTCCCTGTCCTCTGCTCCAACCCTGATTTCCCACAGTGATGGAGTGTAACAAATGAGTTCTAAGTTGAAATAGACCCCCACCCATCTACCTCAGGGTTTTTTGTTTGTTTGTTTGTTTATCATGGTGTCTTTCCCAGCAATAGAAATTCAAACTAAATATTTTATCCTATGAAGATAGGATTGCTTTTTATTTACCTGACTGAAAGCTTTCACTGTAAAGATTGAAAAACTAAATGTACACTAATGGAGTTTTATGGACAAGGAAGTCCCCCTATGTCTTCAGAAATTGCTTCAGGTATTCTTACTATACTCTTTATCCTCGTGAACCTATATGGAGGCACCAATTCAAATTCTGTAATATTATGTCCTTACTATGAAAACTGTAGGACTAACTCAGCAGTTAGAACCTCAGCAAATTAGATGCAAACACAAATGGCCCAAATTAGAACTTCTTCAGAAATCTAGACACAGATTTTCAGAATTTTGAAGGTCATTTCATCAGTCCCTGTAGTAAATTCTACTAGCATCTATACATAATGCATAATAGGGACCCAAGACCTCAGGAATCTGACCAAAACATGAAAGAACAATATGCCCCCAAATCTGGAACCATCCATCCAGGAGAAAAAAAAATGTGCTGGCTAAGAGCAACTGTTTTGGAAGACCTTGTAGATCCAGAGTGGGAGCAAAACACTGTATTGCTACCTCATCCAGAAAACACTCTCATATCTGCCTATTAGTGAGTCTTACTCCAGTTACTTTTAGGATATAAAAGTTAATTCACCTCAGTCATATTATAATATCTAACACTAGATGGTGTGCAATGGCAACATCCTCCCTCTGCAGTTAGTAAGGGCTCCAGAGTGTCTTCAGCTCACTGTCACATGGGCACCAACTCTGGCAGGTATGGTACAGGTCACTGTGATACAATTTTTTTCCCCACATGGCTTCTCTGGTGTTGAACAAGATATGAAGTACGGGTAAAGCCTTTTCCACATGCACCACACTGGTAAGGTTTCTCACCAGTGTGGATTTTTTTATGTTCAATAAGGCTTCTATTCTGAGTGAAGCTTCTTTCACACTCATTGCACTGATAAGTCATGGGAGTTTCAGTATTATCCCACTGGCTTTCCACCCTACTCTGATCTTCCCAGGCCTCTCTGTGCAGAGGCCTGTGAGCAGTTTTATCACCATGGATCCTCTGATGTCTCAGGAGATGTGAGCTCCGCCTGAAGGCTTTGCCACACAAGTTGCACTGGAATGGCTTCTCCCCGGTGTGAATTTTGTGATGTTCAAGGAGGCTGCAGCTCTGGGTGAAGGTTTTCCCACAGTTATCACACTTGTAGGGCTTTTCCCCAGTGTGGGTTCTCTGGTGCTTGATGAGGTTTGAGCTGTGACTGAATACCTTGCCACATTCTTCACACTCATATGGCTTCTCACCAGTGTGTACTCTCTGATGAATGACAAGGGCAGAGCTCCCAATGAAGGCCTTACCACAGTCTTCACATTCATAGGGCTTCTCTCCCGTGTGGATTCTTCTGTGTTTGGTCAGACCTGAACTTTGGGCAAAAGTCTTTCCACATTCGGGGCAATAGTGTCGTTTAGTCCTTGTGGCATTCTTCTGTGTTGTCTGTAACTTGCCTTCCTGTTCACTGGTTTCTGCACCTGCAGGAATCCCAACAGTGTCTTCAGCCAGGAGGGACCTTGGCTGCTCAGGCTTATGTTCTGTGTATTCCTCAGCTGGATGCAAGTCCCTGGTTTCAGGCTTCATTTCCAGACCTGAAACACAATTGTCAGCAAGTATTAACTATGCTTTGCATGGGAGAAAACTCTGAGAAAAACAGCAACCAAGGCAAAAGTTACAGAGCTCTCTGATGCCAAAGATAAATATTTAAATTAAACACTTAATAGTTTGCTTTAATAAATAAATTAATCACTGAGCCAAGACACACAGGGGTGGGCCTAGGCCCTATCCCAAAGAATATGATAGACTCTGATGACACCCTTTGGAAGGTCTCACCATCCAAGGGAATCAGAAAGGATATGTGATAGGTAGGGTTTTAGTTTGGGGGGGGGAGGTAGTAAGGGAGGATAGGAGAGACAAGGGAACTGGGATTGTCATGTAAAACAATCGTGTTTCTAATTCAAATTTTAAAAAATTTAATTAATTAACATATTATTAAGTGTTTATTGATATGATGGCTAATTACATAATTTAATGTGTTTTAAATTACATTAATTTAACATTTTAATATTTAAACTTATTATTTCAATGCAGAAATAAGGGTGGGAATAAAGGGACAGGAGTGCTGGTGAGGAAAGAAAACTGGTGGGAATCAGAATTAAATGGAAAAACAGGAAGTGGGAGGAAGGTTATGAGGACCAAGACCATGAAACCGAATGACCAACCAATCAACAAAAAAATTCCTAAAAGCTATTTAATAAAACATGAAAAGTGTCATTTTGGGGGCTTTATAAACCCTTTCCAGTGTTTAGAATAGTAGGTTCTAAACACATTTTTCTGTATTCCTTTTTTCTCTAGATAGGCTTTAGGCTCAGAAGCCTAAAGAAAGGAGGCACTGCTGTGATATGCATTGTCACCTCTGTTCCCAACATTCAATGACAAGGGGGTTTAAGTTCTAGGCACCATCAAAGAACTCTGTGGCTTCTGATAAGTCACTTTACCTTCTGTGACTTGACACTCTCATCTCTAAGGTCAGGGACAATAATCAGCACCTAAGGTCACTTCTAGACTCCCAGACTATGACTTTGTGACCCACATCCTGAAGTGTCCTGTTGGGAAGCCTTGCTGGTCACAGGTTGCAGTCTAGCATGGCCTGGCAGCTCTCTCCAAGCTCAGCAACATGGAGGACTCCCTCCCCAATAAGACTTCCTGTTTCCACCTGCCCTTTTAGATTAGGTCTCTAGGCCTGCAGGCCTGACCTTATCTGATAGCTGTCCATAAGCCTGGATGCCTGACTTGTCTCTAGTGTGACCCTTGGCACAGTTCTCTGTTAGAGCTCTCCCCTTGCTGCACATATGGTAACTAGACATTGTACTAGGAACTTTATGATAGGAGCATAGTATTTAATGCAAATTAGGTGCTTCCCCAGCTACTGTCCCCAGGCTTTATATCTCCTTCTCTGGAATAAAGGGAAATGTAAAACTTAAACTGCCTCTACCCCCAGAGCTGTCTCCATACAACTAGGAGCAGTCTAAACCTACTCACTCGCCTCTGTTCCCTCCCACTCATGGGCCAGCAGTAGAGACAAAGCAAGGTCCAGAGGGTTTTAAGAGTTAGTTACACAACTGGTCATTAACAGGACTCAGAATTCTGAAACTAAACACAGAAAACTGCTTCTAAGAATCAAATAGCTTCTTTGTTTGGTTTTTGCGTTTCCAAGACTGTGTGCCCTGGCTGTCCTGAAACTTGTTCTGTAGACCAGGCTGGCCTTAAACATACAGAGATCCATCTGACACTGCCTCCCAAGTGCTGGGATCAAAGGTGTGTGTTACCACTACCTGATTCAAATAACACACAAAAGAAAAGACTTTAGGAGCAGATAGTGCCTGTCCATTTTTCCCCAAGGAAACTAGGATACCAGAGCTCTCCTGCCTGGTATCTCTCTATAGAGATCTCTATAGAGATTCATCTGAGATTAATCCTGCTCTGTCCACCCATGTGAGAGGGTCAGCAATCCCTAAAAATATAAGTGATCCTATTAGTACCTCCTTCTCATACTTCCAAACTGAGGCACATGGAATGGTACATATAAGCTGCTTAAAGGGGCTCTTACAAAGGGGGGCAAGTCTTTAAGGCATACCTCCACTTACTTAACTCTATATACAAAACTCTTAGCCAAGCACAAGAGTGAATGCCTGTAATCTTAGCACTCGGAGACCAAACAATGAAGATCTCAGTTCAACTCAAGTCTGGCCTGAGAAACCTTGTCTCAAAAAGAAACAAACTGTCAAAAGTGGAAACTACTGCCTGCATTAAGGCACATGCTTTCATGTGACTTTATCAATGGTAGGAACTACTACATTCCTGAGAGTTAGTACTTTCCCTATGAATGTATAAATGTCCCAGGAAATGAAAAGGCTTAGAAAACGAGGTTCTATGAAACCATTTCCAGGCTTCCATAGATGTGTACTTTCATTTGGCAAACTGAAGGCAAGGGCTCATTATTAATTTTTTAATTCATAAAACTGGAGTCTGGGATGAGAAAAAAATAAGGAGGAAAATTAGAGAATAGTATTACCACCCCAAACACTAATAACTTCAAGCAGGACATGAAAACCTGAATGAATATGGAAACCTAGGTTATGTAATCACCACTTTAGTAGCCCAAAAGGATATACTGTATCTGTCCCCTTCAACTATAAGTCTTTGAAGGCAGAATCCCCGTCTTTATGTCCCTCACTGAGAGTATACTTTAAGACATTATTATACTTTAAAACAACAAAATAGGGCTTCCAAAGTAGCTGAATGGCAGAGAACTTGCCTAGCATGTATGAAGCCCTCAGCTTGACAAAAACAAACAAAACAAAACACCTAAACTACCATTATCACCAAAAAATCCTTTAATTTGCATTTCTTGAATTGTTCTTATTAAAAAAGGAGCCCCACCAATGAAGGGCCTGATCAAAGCAATGAATGGTCTACAAGAGTTCTGTGAACACAGAGAATCCTCCAAGTTAGCCAGAGAACAGAAGAGTCCCCATAAGTGAGCCCAAAATAAAGACTTCTGCTGAAAAGAAATGGTGAGAAACTCTAAGACTGGTGTAAACTTAGGATGAGGATGGAGAACTGCAGAGAAAAAGACCATCTTAGTCACTGTTTTATTGCTATGAGAGACACCACAACCAAGGCAACTCACATAAACAAAAGCATTTAATTGAGGTTTGTGTACAGTTTCAGATGTTTAGTCCATTTTCATTGTGGTGGGGAGCATGGCAGCAGGTAGGTATGGTGTTGGAGCAGTAGCTAAAAACAATAGCCTGATCTGTAGGCAAACAGAGAGACTCTGGATCTGACATGGCCTTTTGAAACCTCAAAGTCCCCCCCCCAGTGACATACTTCCACCTCCTTATCATTTTCAAATAGTGCCACTCCTTGATGACTAGCCATTCAAATATATCAACCTATGGGGGCCGTTCTTATTCAAGCCATCACAAGGACCTAATAGGAGGACCACCAGTAAGGAAGATGCTGAAGAGGGGGAGAAGCTCATCTGGGGTGGAGGAGTGGGCCTGGCAACTATCACAGACTCTCCCCTACTCCTGCACCCCTGAGCTACCCCAGGGACCTGGATCAATAAGACAGAAGGACACTCAAGATACGATCCACTCTGGGATCCAGCCTCCATACTTTGCAGTTTAATCGGTTTTATTTACAACAGTTCTACTATTTCTAGGTCTGAATGAGAACAGCTTCCATACATTCAAATGGTTTGAATACTTCATCTCTAGTTGGTAGAACTGTCTGGGAAGGATTAGGAGGTATGGCCTTATTTGAGGAAGTGTGTCACTGGGATAGACTTTGAGGTTTCAAAAGCCTATACCATCCCCAGGTAGCTCTCTCTGCCTTATGCTTATGGATCAAAATGTAAGCTCTCAGACTCCAGTGCCATGTCTGAATGCAGCTGCCATACCCCTACCATCATGATAGTCATGAACTCTAACCCTCTAAAATTATAAGCAAGACCCTCCCAATAAATTCTTCCTTCTTTAAGTAGCCTTTCGGGCTGGAAAGATGGCTCAGTTGTTAGAGCCATCACACACACACACACAACCAAAAATGTAAGTAGGCTTGGCCATGGTGTCTTATCACAGCAATAGGAAAGAAACTAAGACACTGAGATACTCTGACTTTACACATTTGATCTTATTTTCTTTGTAGCCCTCTTGAATATTCAAAATTGCACTATTGACTTTTTTTTTGCTATCTTGTACCACTAGAATTTAAGATCTATCTGAGCAAAAATTCAGTTTTGCTAATGGCTCTATTCCTGGTGTCAAACAACACTGGCTATGGTAGAGAAGCCACTAAAGATATGCTTACCTATATACATACAGACATACACACACATACACACACACACATACACACACACACACACACACACAACAACAACAACAACAACAACAACAACAAACTGAGGTCAGTATGTTTCTAAAACTAGACTAATTCTTTACAGATATCAATTTTAATTACATATTATCATTCACAGGATTAGTTAGGAAAGTTTTCTGTTATTTTTTTATTTCCCTTTGAGTTTCAGTCTTAGAATTAATTGGTGGTGGGCATAGAAAGTAACTGTCAAATAGATCCATCTCTTAGGTGACCATTCAATGAAACTAAATGAAGTCAGTAGTAGCATGCTCACTTATGCACAAGGCCCTGAGATGGATCCCTCCCAACACACACACACACACACACACACACACACACACATTCTCTCACCTCTTGCTTGTAAGGGTGAACATTCCAAAGATTCCTGAGACTCATGCTTGAGCAGACACTTCATTGGCTGGGAGTGGCTACTTTGTGAGTTCTGGGATGGCATTAACAATGCCACCTTGCAGCAGAGAAGTTCTCGACTCCATTCACCAGTAGGGACCTAAAAGTCATTCATTTACTTTTATTTATTCAATCAAACTTTCCCATCACACTTTGTGTGAGGACATTCTATTATCGGGCACTGATTCTAAGAGCTTCACAAATATTAACTCATTGAAGTACAGACAGCCCTGTGAACTGATGGGAGCATAGCATGAAGATCCTTGCCTCCATAGATCTCCAGAGAAACCAGGAATGTTAAGCATACAGGATTGTCTTTCCAGTGGGAAAGACCTTTTCTTCCATCCAGAAATCTGATCAGCTGCCTAGTGATCTGTGTTATCAGTTGGGCCAGGCCATAGCTAGCTCTTACAACCAAGACCAGAGGTGGCTAGTAATCTAAATGACCCTTCTAGTCCAGAGGCTCCCCAAAGCTCCCACAATGACCCAAATGATCACTATGCTATCTGTATTACTGAGACCAGCCCAGACCTTTAGGCCCTTAAACAAGAACAGGTAGCCTATCTCTAAAACCATCTTCTTGAAAGAATTGAAATAGCAACTATGATTACATACATAAGACAGAAGGCCTGGCCTCGAGCATATTTTTGCTCTGTAGATAAACCTAGAAGGGAGTACTTAAAGCATAAACTAATGGGCTGATTCCAATTACATTTAATTGTGATCATATCCATTGTACCCCAGAAAACCAAAAATGCATATTTAGCATATTATCAACAATATAGAAACAGAACTTGTAGTTGATACACTGGGTGATAAACTAGAGATTTTTAAACACCATATTCTAAAGAACTAATTCTGGGAGCTGGGAATGGTTGTGCATGCCTATGATCCTAGCACTTTGGAGGCAGAGGAAAAAGGGATCAAGAATTTCAGGGCAGCCTTGGCTACACAGCAAGTTCAAGTCCAGCCTTCTCTACAAACGAGAAAAAGGACATTAATTCTAAGATTGAAGCAATATGCAAAACACACTTATTATCACACAATAGTAGATACATAACTATAATCTACTTCAGAGACATTTTAACTCACATGCACAAATACTAACATAATATAGACTTCCATGTGATACTCTTTGGTAAAAATTACTTTGTAACAGGAAAAATACAAGATAAATGTTAGGAAACAAATGAATCAAATCTCCATATATAACCTAGTTCTAGAATTCTTTTAAAATCTACATACAGAGGAGAAATCAAAGTATCAAGAAATCAAATATATCAAGAAGTTAGCAATGGTTATGCTTGGGTAATGACAAAGCCATGATTTTTCTTTATTGTTCTGTACTTCACTTATGATATTTTCTTTAATAAGAATAAATTTTCATAAAAATAAAAAAAGAATTGACATATACTCTGAGTTAAGTGTCAGTGTAATTATACTTCCTTGTACAATGAGGATTGTATTACACTAGGAAACTTTTTCAAAGTATACTGGGCTTAAATGCATTGTAAATAAAGAGCCTGTTATTAGACTCCCCAAAGTCCAATCCAGGTTGACAAAAATCATTCGGCACTGGGGTTTCATTCTTATCTCTTCTCATGGTTCAGTTCCCTGTATGACACCTGCAGGGACCTCCCTCAATAAAATTTGGAATTGTTTGGAATTTTGTAACTGGAAACTGGGCCCCAGTTTAAGCATCTTGTCCCTGTTATCCAGTGCCTACGTAGCAATGCTACGATGGGAGCTCAGGCTGGAGCTGCAGAGCCTATGAGGTAACCATTAAATTGCTCCCTTGCTCTGTCTCTCTTCTGTTATGCAGCTGATGGGAAAAATCTATAAAAGTATAAACATCTTGTCTTAAAAATAAACATAGTAATCCCATCCAACAGGGTTCTTAAGAAACTAACAAATTTGATTGCGTTATGTAAAACCAACTAACAGAGTATAATAGGTGGTACATCCTCATTAAAGTTTAGTTTCCTTGCAAACATGGATAATAAAAAGATGCTCAGAATTTCCTACATCTTTTACAGAGAATAAAGTTCTAAGACTTGAACTGACTTTCCACTGTTACAGAATACAGGACAGCAACTCCAGGTCCAGAACCTTGGCCTCCTGGTCACTAGTTAGAAGGTTCTAATCATGTGTCCTCTGACACAAAGATGCTGGAGGCTGCAAAGAGAAAATCTCCTAAAACAGGTAAAATGTGTTTATATGCATAGATTAGTGCTGCCTTCAACCTTAGCCAGAGATTCTTCCCTATACAGGGGGTAGTGGTTAATGAGAAGACTCAACTGGTCAAAGAGCTGAGAGCATACCGCTGTTGACTACTCATCCTTGAATAAAACATCTACATCAACCTCTACCTTCTGAGGCTCAGGGAAGATGGGGCAGAAAGAACATAAAAACCTAGGATGGAGAAGAGTATTGCTAAATGCTGCCTTCTGAAAAGACATTGTTATTAACTCAGGGACTCACTGCAGCTATGGCTACCTGATCAAAATCAAGAAAACATGATCAGTCAATATTCCAGCTAATGGCACTAACTGAACTTAGTAAAAGCAGGAGTTGTATGAAAGGGAGAAAGGTGGTTGGGGGAAATAGGAGGGGGGGCGAGTTGGTGGCAAATATAATGGAGACACATTGTTGATATGTATACAATTGCACACACACACACACACACACACACACACACACACACACACATATTGTTTTTAAGGCCAGAAGATGGAAGTTAAAAACAGCCCATTTTCTACCACACGATCAAACAAGGGGTTCGTGAGTTTGGATAGGAAAAAAATCCTTTCTAGATTCTAAGAAAACTGTAGAACTGTCAATGAGAACACCAAAGCAAGGTGCCATAAGCACCACAGCACTAAAGATGTCACATGTGACAAGTCAAGAAAAGACCTACAAAGTCCTTAGTGCCTATTGCCACTGTGCTCAAACCTGTCCTTGGGTCTTACTCAGCACATGAGTTAAGAAGTCCCTATCTAACCTTTCACCACTCTGCTCAGCACATTCTACCCGGTTTCACTAGGACTGAGTTCTTCCCAATCCTTGTACTTTCCTTTGTGCTTTTAACTATTCTGAGGGGTCCAGGTCACTTCATTGGTTGCCTCAGGTTCCCAGTTCAGACTGATACTTCGAGTGTTCTAAGCAATGCCTCCCTTGGATGTTGCTTGAGGTTTCTGGAAGGCACAGGGCATAGGTGTCAGACCCTAAACCTGTTCCTTCTACCTGTGGAGGTGTCTCATCCAGCTGCCTCTCCAAGTACTCCAGCAGCGCCACCACCTCCTCCCGCCTGGATGGTCAGGAATTGCTCCAACACCAGCAGCTCCAGGATCTGCTCCTTGCTGTGCATATCTGGCCGCAGCCACTGTCTGCAGAGCTCTCGGAGCCGGCTCAGTGCCTGCCGGGGTCCGGCTTCCTCCGGGTAGCGGAAGGCGCGGAAGCGCTGTCGGGAGCGGTCGTGCCCAGGGCTGCCCATCCAACTGGCCTCCTCTGGCAAGGGAAAAGCCTCTTCCTGTTCCACCTTCACCACCAGAAGCCCAGTGCCCTCTTCTGCAGATTGAACGTTTAGAGCTGTGCTCGCTCCCGGCTCTCTAGCCATTCTGCGCCAAGCCTAGGCTCCCTGCTACCTGTAAGTTGTGGATCCTAAGAGGATTCTCTAAACATGGGAGCTCGGTTTGGATCTGTCTCCTCCCGTGGTTCCCGGGGACACCCAGAGGCACAGCTGCACGGGTATCTCCAACAATCCTTGCCTTTGTGGAGTCCTCCTCTGCACCCCACCCTAACTCCACAATAAATATTCCAAACGAATGCCCCGGGGCAAAGAAACTGCATCCATACACTGACTGAAGCACAGGAAATGCTGTGGGACCCCCAAGCCGCTTCCTGGGTTCTCTAGGATGCTCTTCTCAGTGGTTCTATCCGAATTAACTCATTGGTGACTCTATCAGTACCTCCACGCAAGGGAGGATTGTTGGGGAAAGGACTGTAACTCCCGAGTCAAAGGAGTGGGTGTTTAAGCACAGGAATTAAGTTACCAAGGGTCTTTGATTCTTTCTGATGTCAACCTAGCCTTCATAGTTGTCACAATGCTGACACAAAAATTGAGCTGGGAAGTAGACTTTGCAGAATGCAAAGGTGGGAGGGACATGGTAGGAAATTTGGTACCTCCTAGAAACCACGAAAGAAGCAGGACACTCACTTATCTGGAGACTATGGTGGCCCCAGTCCTGCCCTCTTCCTGCTGCTCCCTTCCCTCCCTCTCCAGGCCAAACTACCTGAGAGAAAATCATCCAGACCCCACCTCCCACCACTTCAAAAAACACTATAGGCAGCAAAGCACCAGTGCAGCCACTGCTGTGGCTCCTGCCCAAATAACTAGGGAGTCCAACTCTTCTAAACGCTTGGGCAACAAAGCTTGTGCATGGCAAGCATCCAAGTTGCCTCTGTGCACTCCCAGAAACGCTCTAGTCCCCAGCCTCAGGCACATCCCGTTCCCACTTCATTTCTTCCTGTTTCTCTGCAGCCCTAACTGACACACTAGCACAAGTGTTAGATGCAGAGACTACCAAACCTGAGAAAGGCACATTGTCTTCAATTCAAAGGAACCCAATAGATCAGCCAGGTGCAATGATAAACTTTATTTAACTCAGATTAGAAAAAAAAACAACAGTTGTGAAACGGCCAGATCACTATCACAGGTTCCTCCATCTTCTATTCCTGCTGAGGTTGTTTCCAGGTTTAACTAGAATCTGATCTCTTTGGGATAGCCCATGGAAAACTACCCAACCAAAGGTCAGGATGCCCTATCTAACTTACCTAACCTTTGTTGAAATTGCTTGTTTGTGCAGAACCTTCTCCAGCTAACCCTTTATCTTAGCTGTCTATGCAGAATCCCCCTCCAGTTGGCTAACCCCTTATCTTAGTTTCTGTTTGCTTCAAACTGCTTACTCTGCAAAGCCCCCACTGCAGCTGCCCAGGGAGGGAGATTCCTCAATGAGGGAGGTCTCTGCCCTAAAAACCTGGTGTTCTGGACACTAGGGGCCACACCTAGGTCTGATGAACAGTTACTTGGGTGTGGTCCCAGTCAGCTGAATAAAGACTTCAATTGGCTATAGGCTGTGTCTGAGTGTCATCTCTGGTAAGCTGCCTGTAACACTGTGTAAAGACACAGCTGTGATGATGTGGAAAACTAGAACTCAGTAATATTAAGCAACGATTGGCAATTTGGCTGTTAGAATGATACTATCATTTTGTGATATTTATTTTTATTTACCTGTGTCTATGTATATGCCATACATGTGCTTGGCACTTGTACAAGCCAGAAGAGGACATCAGGTATCCTGGAGTCCTGTCATAGTTAGGGTTTTTATTACTGTGATAAACACCATGACCAGAAACAATATCTAGGGAGGAAAGGGGTTATTTGGATTACAAGTTCCAATCACAGTCCATCATGAAGTCAGGGCAGGAACTCAAGGCAAGATACCCAGAGGCAAGAACTGAAGCAGAACCTTGGAGGAATGCTGCTGAATCCTTGCTGGAATGCTGCTTACCGGCTTGCTCTCCTGGTTTGTTCTGTCTGCTTTCTTATGTGCCCCAGGACTATCTGCCCAGGCATGGCACAGCCCACAGTGGGCTCAGCTCTTTCACATCAATCATCAGTCAAGAAAATGCCACACATACTTGCCTATAGGTCAGTATGATAGGGGCTTTTTTAAAATTGAGATTCCTTCTTTTTAGATTACTTTACTTTTGTCAAGTTGCCAAAAACTAACCAACACAGGGCCTCTGAAAGAACCACAAATGATCTTAACTACTAAGACATCTGTCCTGCCTCTCGATCATTTTTAAAGTCATTCATTAGAACTTTATATTGAAATACCTGTATAGATGGATGAACCATTAAAATGTCTGAGTTTTTTGAAGCAAATACTCAGCAAAAAAGAAAGAAGGAAACAACACAAACATGATAATTGTTGAAGCTGGATTAGAGGCACAGGGGTATCCATCACAATATTCTCTATAGACTTGCACAAAGTTTCCATAGTTGTTGGGGGCCAAATCTCAGGGCTTGGCATGAGATCCTAGGCCATGCTTGGCAGGCCACATAGTTAACCTTTACATAGCAGCTCCTTAGAACCTCAGCTCAAGAAAAGAAACAACTTGACCCAGTCCTCCACCCACAGGTTCAGTCACCTAGGCAACCCTCCCTGGACCTCTTACTCATGAATTCTTTACCCTGCCAAACATCCTCTTTGTGGCTTCCTAATATCCTGCCTATACCAACACCTGGTGCACAAACAACTCATTTTGCCCCTCCCCATATCCTGACTATATAAGCTAGCCTGAGAAAAGTAAAGTTTGGCACTTGATCAGAATCCTGTCTTGTGGTCATTCTTTCTGCGTCTCTTGTCCCCATTCTCTATCCCTGACTCTCTTGCCCCAGGTTGACGTCCTGCAGGTCGGGACACATAGTAACTTGCTTAATTGCAGAAGCCTACCTTCCTTCATCAGTGAATAATTCAGTCCAAAAACTATTTAGTGGGTCTAAAAGAGATAGGAACAGGGATGGCAGTTTAGCCCACAGTGAAGCCCCATTCTGGCTTAACCAGTTGTAATATTCATCTTGTCAATTTGAGTAGATTCAGAAAAACTTAGGAGATTAATAAAGCATGTGCCTTCTAGACGGTGGTCACAAAGGCTATAGCCCACAAGTAGTATAATGTCTTGGTGCATTCATTATATGATGATATAATTTGGGCATGGGTAAAAACTAGGATGCAAAGCCTAACTGGATGAAGTAGGTCTTTGTAGTTTTGCCCTTAGAGGCTATATCTTTCTCTGGCTCCTTCCTGTGTTCCTTCTCTTTGCTTCCTAGTTAGCCAAAATGTGAAGAGCCCCTGCCTCATACTACTGCCACCGTACCTTCTCTGCCATGATGGACTAAAATCCACCTCAAACCATGAGCCAAAATAAAACTTTCTTCCCAAGCTGTTGGGGATATTGTCACGTGACAAAATTAACTAATATACCAGTAGTATCAGTCACTTTCTCATAGCTGTGATAAACATCTGACAATAAGAATCAACCTAAGAAAAATGTATTTGGGCTCTCAGTTTGAGGGCCTAGTCCATTTTGCCAGGAACATGGCAACAAAAATAGCAGGAAGCTACTTGGAGTAAATAGGAATCCTTCACTAAGCTGAAAAGGTGAAGGCAGAAATGAAAGTGGAATGGTGAGTCTCATGGCAGTAAAACACAAAAACCCTTTTCCCCATTGCTGTCACTTAGGATAGTGTATGTACCTAGTCAGGGATAGCTTCTATTGTTTATGGTTGGGATTGGAAGGAGGTGTTCAGGCTTGGACACCTCTTGCAGATGACTTTAGTGTTTAGTTAAAATGTCCAAATAGTTAGGATGTGACATAAGTAGATTGATGTATATTCTTATATTTCACCTTATGATTGTTAATTTTGGATACTTTACACTGTTAAATTTTAATCCTCTTTTAGACTAAAAGGGGGATTGTAGGGGAGACATTACAGAGTTCGAATCCACTGGAAAAGACAAGACTCAAATGAAGTTTAGGTTAAAATCAAATGAATTTATTCTTACTAGTAGCAGGAAGGACAACTGCCTTATAATCAAATCAAGAGCAGTAGATGGCTAGGGGAAGAGTATTTAAGGTGGGCGTTACAATTATCTCCCTTCTATGGAATCCACAGCTGTGTGGGAACATAGCTCTACTCCCCTTAACTGTCTCTCACTTCTGTTACAGGAGACAGAGAAAACTTCTTCCTTCCCTTTCCCACAGGGATAAGCGGGTTACATAAAGCCAGGGCAAGTGGTTAATTATCTCATAGCAGACACACCATTCTTTCATTCCTATCTCACATAAATAAGATCATTCTGGGGAGGATGCAGGCCACTAGGAGCCCAGGGGAATTTTAGAGCAAAGATCAACAGCTACTATGGGGGTGACTGGTGCAGAGTTAAAGTTCTTAGCCATCACAGGTGTGATGAAAACCTTTAATCTTGGTGCTTGGGTGGTGGAGACAGGAGGATCAGAAGTTTAAGATCATCTTTCGCTGACTAGCAAGCTCCACGCCAGCTGGGGCTACATATGCTCCACTTAATAATAGAAAATAGCTGGGTGGTGGTGGCTCACTCCTTTAATTTCAACACTCAGGAGGCAGAAGCAGGCGGATCTCTGAATTCAAGGCCAGCCTGGTCTACAAAGTGAGTTCCAGGGCAGCCACAACAACACAGAAAAACCCTGTCTCAAAAAAACCATAATAATAACAACAATAATAATGAAAATACATATATACGTTCATACATACATACATACAGCAGAAGGACCCATTAATGATAATCCCTTTAGTTACCCCGGGAGTTCAATGTAAGGAATGTAAATCGTGAAAAATGGAATGAGTGAGCGTCCATTTCACAGATGCTGAAGAGGGGCTCTTGCGCAGCCTCCTGGAGACGCCCAAGTACTGACTAGGAGGACTGTCTAGTCCACAGGGCAGAACTGAATCTAGTGCGTCATCCCGCTCGTTCCTAGTGCGCCTGCGCCGTTGCTACCGCGCGGTAGTCC